AGGACAGTGCTCCTGGTGTGAGAGGTCAGTGCTCCTGGTGTGAGAGGTCAGTGCCCCTGGTGTGAGAGGTCAGTGCCCCTGGTGTGAGAGGTCAGTGCTCCTGGTGTGAGAGGTCAGTGCTCCTGGTGTGAGAGGTCAGTGCTCCTGGTGTGAGAGGATAGTGCTCCTGCACTGCCTGTAGTCACTCGGGTCTTAGGATAATAGCGGCGTTTATCTTCTGAGATGGACATCAAGGCTCTTAAACTCCCTTGCAGCAAGCCATTCAGCGGGAAGGGGCAGCATGCAGATCCTTGCATGGTTCTCTCGGCGACTCCGTGGCGGTACCCTTCACTGTTTTTCAGTCTCTGGGGTATAATTTGTACAGTTTGGACTGGAAAATGTGGTCTGCCTATGAACCAGCCTGCTAATCCGCACAGCGGTATGGCAGTACTCCCTTTATTTTACAACTCAGAGAGGTTAAGAGGCCAGCCCAGTGTCACACAGTTACTAAGTGCCAGTTCTGGAGTTGTTTAATCCCATGTTTCCCCAAGCCACCATAGATATACCTTGGTGACACATTTGACCCCTGCCTCAACCTTAGAGATGATCTTCTCCTGAACATTCTTCTAGATCCACTTCCTGAAGCAAGGCTGTGGCGAAGACAAGATCTGTCAGAGCAACCTCCAGCTCGTGCAGGCCCAGTTCTGTTCCCGGGTCAGCGACACAGAGTTCCAGGCTCTGCCCATGTGAGGAGGGTGGAGAGGGCACTTATGGAGTAGGAGGGGGCCGGGGCTCAGAGTGGTCAGGCAGAGGCCCATCAGGGATGGGACCATAGTGTCCTGAGCAGAGATAACAATTCTCGATTCTCCTAGTCTATATAATGTCATTTTGTGAACACTGTGTTACACAGTCCTCTGTGAGGTAGGGATGGCTGGCTCCATGTTATGGATGGAGAGTGGAGTGAGGCCCAGAGACCTTGCTGGTTATACAAGGTCAGAAAGTGGTGGAGTTATAGCGTAAGGATCAAGGTGCACTGAAAGAGCTGGCTCTGGCTTGGGGGACCTGGAGTGGGAGGAGAGGCAGTGTGTACTTGACTGGGGTCTGGGAAGAGAGAGATGGTGAAAGGCCCAGACTCTACAGTAAGTTGGGTCCCGTCCTCCAGGGATCTGGATGGAAAGACCGCCGTGTTTGCACTGAGCGGGCAGCCATTCATAGGCTTGGAGCTGACAGTCACCAACCTGCCTTCTGATCCTGCCCGGCCTCAGGCGGACGGGGACGATGCCCATGAAGCCCAGCTCCTGGTCACCCTCCCAGCCTCTCTGCACTACTCAGGAGTACGTGCTCTGGACGCTGTGGTGAGAACCTGGGACAAGGCACACTGGGTGGGGTCCTTTAATTTTTTTTTTTTGTTTTTGTTATTTCTTTTGTGAGAATTTTTTGGGTAATTATGAGTCCTATTATGATGTCTTCAAACCTGTATTTCAGTGTGCTAATCTGGTCATAATCATTCCCAATACTCTATCTTAGCCATTGTTCCATTGCTGTAAAGAGACACTGTGACCATGGCAACTCTCTCTCTCCCCTCCCCCCTTCTCCCCCCCCCCCCCCCCCCCCAGGGTTTCCCTGTGTAACATCCCTTGCTGTACTAGAACTCAGTTTGTAGATGAGACTGGCCTCGAACTCACAGAGATCCACCTGCCTCTGCCTCCAAAGCACTGGGATTAAAGGCATGCACTACTACCGCACCTGGCCCTCGCCATGGGCAGCTCATGTAGGAAAGCACTTATTTGGGACTGGCTTACAGGCTTGGTGGTTTAGGCCATTATTGCCGTAGTGGGAAGCATGGTAGCACACAGGCAGATGAGGTGCTGGAGAGGTAGAGGAGAGTCTACATTTGGATTGGTAGGCAGCAGGATGAGAGAAAGAAAGATTGGCCCTAGATTGAGCATTTGAAACCTCAAAGCCAGTGACACACTTCCTCCAACAAGGCCATACCAATTTCAACAAGGCCACATGTACTGCAACAAGGCCACACCTACTTTAAGGCCACACCTACTCCAACAAGGCCACACCTATTTCAACAAGACCACACTTACAACAAGGCAACACCTCCTAATAGTGCCATTCCCTATTGAATAAACATTCAAATCTATGAGCCTATGGGAGACATTCAAAACACCACACTGTCTTTTTTCCTCCCTCTACATAGTGCCCCCATGCTTATGTATATTCTTAGAGGAGACATATGTCTTTTCTTTTCTTTTTTTTAATGATTTATTTATTTATTTTATTTATGTGAGCACACTGTAGCTGTCTTCAGACACACCAGAAGAGGGCATCAGATCTTATTACAGATGGCTGTGAGCCACTATGTGGTTGTTGGGAATTGAACTCAGGACCTCTGGAAGAGCACTCAGTGCTCTTAACCACTGAGCCATCTCTCCAGCCCCCATATATGTCTTTCTGCATCCAGTATTAACTTGTCTTGTTCCCACTTTCCTCTTTAGACTACTTCCTCCTCCCAATATAGTCTCTGTTTTGTGTGTGTGTGTTGTGTGTGTGTGTGTGTGTGTGTGTGTGTGAGAGAGAGAGAGAGAGAGAGAGAGAGAGAGAGAGAGAGAGAGAAAGACATATTATGTAGCCTTGGCTGGCCTGGAACTTGCTATATAGAGCAGGCTGGCCTTAGTTGATAGAGATCCACCTGTCTCTGCCTCCAGAGTGTTAGAATTAAAGGCATGCACTACCAATTACCAAGGTTGGTCCATATGTATATTTGAGACAAGGTCTCTTTATGTAGCCCAAGCCTGACCTTGAACTTGTGTCAGTCCTCCTGCCTCAGCCTTCCAAGGGCTAGAGTTATGGGCATATGCCACTACAAACACACACACACACACACACACACACACACACACACACACACACACACATACACACAGAGTCCACATATAGGTAGGTTTATATATAATTAGATTACACATATGAGAAAAAATATGCATTATTTCTTTTTTCCTATTATCTTTTCTTGTGCTCCCGCACTTCCAGTTTAGAACCCTTCTTCTCCCCATACACTTCCCCCACCCCCATACAGTTCCCCTTCCACTTTTACATCGAGTATATATTAAGGCTAAATGTCTTTTTTTTTTCCAGTTTTTTCGAGACAGGGTTTTTCTGTGTAGCCCTGGCTGTCCTGGAACTCACTCTGTAGGCCAGGCTAGCCTTGAACTCTTGAACTCAGAAATCCTCCTGCCTCTGCCTCCCAAGTGCTGTGATTAAAGGTGTGCGCCACCACTGCCCGGCCAAGGCTAAATGTCTTATAGGAGAGAAAATGCGATGTTTGTCTCTCTGAGGCTGGCTTGTTTTGCTTAACATGGTGATCTCCAGCTCTGCCGCTTTCCCTGAAGATGACGGTTTTGTTCTTCTTTATGACTGGGTAGAACTCCATGGTATGTACACATGAGGTGAGGTCTTTAGAGCCTCAGTAACCCAAGCTGACCTATCCTTCTCTCCCCGATCCAGGAGAAGCCGCTCTGCCTGTCCAATGAGAATGCCTCTCACATCGAGTGTGAGCTGGGGAACCCTATGAAGAGAGGCACTCAGGTTGGCATATCTGGCTTGTGCCTTGAGTGGCCCATGCTTAAGACCCAGCCCTCCCCTGACTCACCTGTCATTCCACACTGGGCAGGTCACTTTTTACCTCATCCTCAGCACCTCTGGAATCACTATTGAGACCACAGAGCTGGAGGTGGAACTGCTGTTAGCCACGTAAGCCTCAGGACAGGTCGGGTCACTTAGAAAGGCTTCAAGTGCCTCATGGGGGGGTTCCTGTGCCAACTGTCCATACATGTCTATGTCCACATGTCAGGATCAGTGAGCAGGAGCTGCATCCGGTCTCCGTCCGGGCTCATGTCTTCATTGAATTGCCATTGTCCATTTCAGGGTAAGTGTTGCTTGTGTGGGCCCCTCTGCCACTCCCGATCCCTGGTTTGGGCTCTGCCTTACTTGGCCTTAGCCTCCTGACTCCATTTGACTGTACCTCAGGCCTCCTTATCCCTTCTTCTTGTCCCTCAAACAACCAGGGTAGCCACTCCCCAGCAACTCTTCTTCTCTGGCGAAGTGAAGGGCGAAAGTGCCATGCGGTCTGAGAGGGATGTGGGCAGCAGGGTCAAGTATGAGGTCACGGTAAGCATTCTGTCGTGTGGTCCCTCCTCTGCCTCCTTTCTTCTTTGCACAGAGGATAGGCTGTTGAAACATGTCTAGAGGTATGGGCTCTTTCCCACACAGTGGTCCTGGGGTTCCATCGCTTCTACACTGGGTAGATGGCTCTAAGAACATGCTGGTGCAGGGATCTCAATGAACCCTCTGGACAGGCCAGCTCTCCTGCTGGTCTGCAAAATTCTGGGAACTCAGGGAAGCCCCTCTGCTCAGGCTCCAGCTGGAATGGGGCCTTGGGCAGAGTTTATACCTTTCCTTAATACTTAACCCTGGCTTGACCTAGACCCTCTCACACATGCTTAGCTTTGCCTAGGTTTGGTATGAGGAAAGAATGATGCCCGGTCTGATCTAGATTGTGCAGCTTTGGTGATGCTGTGTTTCCTGAGTTCCTCCCCTTAGCCTTGCTCCTCTCTCTGTGATGTATCTGAGCTTCGTTTCCTCACACTGCTTCGGGTCCGTAGGTCTCCAATCAAGGCCAGTCGCTCAATACTCTGGGCTCTGCCTTCCTCAACATCATGTGGCCCCATGAGATCGCCAATGGGAAGTGGCTGCTGTACCCCATGCGGGTGGAGCTGGAGGGCGGACAGGGGCCTGAGAAGAAAGGGATCTGTTCCCCAAGACCTAACATCCTCCACCTGGTGAGGCTTAGAGGCAGGGTGGGCAGGGTGTGTGCGTGTGTGTGTGTGTGTGTGTGTGTGTGTGTGTGTGTTTGGGAGGGATGTCATGCAGCAGGGGGAGTCTGCGTGGGTGGTGGAGCAGAGATGCCACCTTGTGGTTTAAAACTTGTGCGGGGCGCACTCCCTGGAGCAGTGAGGGACTCCCAGCTGATGGTTCGATCTCACCAGCACCTCGGGGCTCAGCAGGGTCCCAGGAGCAGGGGCGCAGGGACCCAGGGCACCCCGGAGAGGGAGTCCCCTGGAGCAGGGACGGAGGCAGCCCACGAAGGCGCAGGTGCACAGGCAGCTGCTGCAGGGAGCGCAGGGAGGGAGCCCCGCGGACCACTGTAGCAGGGAGTGCGCCAGGCGTCTTCCCCCCCCCCCCAACCCCCAGGGCGAGTTTCCCACTTACACAAGAGAGTCCAAAGTTCCAGGAGACAGTGAAATCGAAGACATAGAAATTTTATTGACCATGGTGATGGTTGTATCTAGATGTGAATGCTCTCCCACAAAATGCCAGGAGGGGGCCCATTGGGGAGCGGGGGGGGGGGGGGGAAGAGGAGGGGCTAGGGAGATGAGAATTTAGTTATCTACGCCCCTGCCTTTAGGTAATTCATTAATATGTAAATCTTGAGACAGAGGCCTGTTAGTCACGCCCTCTAACTGTGCCTTACCTGACCTAGCATGCAGGTTAAACGGAGGTGGGACTGCATGTTAGGTCTCTGGGCTCTGAGGGCGTGGCCAAACACCCCAGGGTGTCTTTTACAGCCCGACACCACCTCACGGTTGCAGTGTCTGAAGGGAACCTTTCTGCTCCTTCCTCTTCCCTGTCCAGGATGTGGACAGCAGGGACAGGAGGCGGCGAGAGCTGGGGCAGCCGGAGCCACAGGTGCCTCCAGAGAAGGTGGAGCCTAGCACATCCTGGTGGCCAGTGTCCTCTGCTGAGAAGAAAAACCTGACTCTGGTGAGGCAGAGGGAACCGTGCAGCCACTGGGGTGCATGTGTGGTAGAGGGGCCATCACAGGTATACAGAATGTCCGGGAGCTTCCACGGAAGTCAGCCTGACAAGATGCTCAAACACCAGGAACTAGTCAGCCAGATAGTTTGCATCTAGCTGGAGGGAGAGAGTGCCCTTGGGGGAATTCCTGACGCCTCAGACTCTGCAACTCCCACTGCCCACTCCAGGGCCAGCTAGGCAGTGTAGCAATTGATCCTGTCCATTTACATAAAACATCACATGTTATAAGGGCTGGGATGGACTCAGCCTCTTGCCTGCACCTTCTAAGTGCTGTGATTACAGGCGTGTGCCACTTACAGATAAGCATTCTGTTATCGTAATTAAGTTTATAGTATACACCTGAAGTTCGTTAAGCTATCCTTTTTGAACAGGTTTGCTTCCCATTGTCCCACGTAGTTTTGGCGTTTAGGTAGGTTTGTTGAAGGCTCTATGCTTGTTCCTCCTAGGATGGTGCTTACACTGAGATTGTGAGACAGTGAGATTGTGGTACAGATGTCAGTTGCAGACACTGTGGGTGGAGGTCAACCCAGGCATGACCATGTGAGCAGTACAGCCCTGGAGATAATTGGCTGTTCTCTGTAAGCAGTCGGTGTACTCTCTCACATCCCGTCCTTTTTCTGGGCAGAAGCCTCCCCATGCCTCTTTGATACCTGAGGCTAAAGAACAGAGGCGGATGAGCGTCTGGAACTAGCTGCTATTGTGGTATATATACATCTAGTTCCATCTTCCCCACAGGGCCGGCAGCTCTGAGAGACTCTACTTTGAAATAGTTGCTTTGATTTCTTTATTTAAAAACAAGAGTTTTCCCTCTCTCTTTGATTTTACTAGACAGGGTTTTCTCTGTGTAGCCTTGGATGTCCTGGAATTTGCTCTGTACTGGCTTTGAACTCAGAGATCTTCCTGCCTCTGCCCCTTGAGTGCTGGGATTAAAAGCATGCACCACTCTGCCTAGCTTAGAAACAAGAGTCTCGAATTCATGGCAAGCCTAACTCAGCCTTCCCAGTGCTAGGATTACGAGCATGTGCCACCGGATCTAGTTATTTATTAATTGTATTTATTTTTAGTTCAGAACCAAATGGCACATTATTCCATAAAATACAGTTTGTTCCCTCTTTACTTAGAAGGACTGGAGAGCAAACTAGGGCCTTGTATATGCCAGACAAACACTCTACTACTGAACTACAGCCCAGCTCCTCATTCTCTTGAGAGGGGAAGAGATATCTTCTTATACAGCCCAGGCATTCCTCCGCTTTCAATTTGTATCCTTTGATTTCCTTTCAGATGCTAGAATTACAGGCATGCGTCCCTGTGCCTGGCTTTATTTACTATTTGCTTTTCTGTTTTTTTTAAAGTAATTTTATTATTTTTATGTGTATCAGTGTTTTGCCTGCATATAGGTATGTGACCCACATGTGCACAGTGCCTTCTTTTAGAGGCCACATGGGTGACCACATGACACTTTTCTACTTGTTTGTGGCTCATTTCACCTCATGTATTATCTCAGACTCTTTAAAAATGTTTTTGGAAGGTTTCTCTTATGTTTATGAATGTTTTGCCTGAACCTATGTATGTGCATCGTGTGTGTACCTTGTGGCCTTCAGAAGAAGGCTTCGGAGCCCCTAGAGCTGGAGTTATGGATGGTTGTGAGCTTCTGGGAACTGAATGCAGGTTCTCTGTACATGTAGCCAGTGCTCTTAACTGCTGAGCCACCTCTCTATCTCCATCTTTTGTATTCTTTTTATTTAAAATAAAAGCATATGAGTGCAGCAGCATGCATCCTCCCCACTTAGAACATACTTTTAAAAGGACTCCAAACACTCTCTAGCCATTCTTGTGTGTATGTATGTGTGAGTGCATGTGTGTATATGTGTATGTGTGTGTATATGAGTGTGTGTATATGTGTATGTATATGTGTATGTGCATATGTATATGTATGTGTGTGTATGTGTGTGTATATATATGTGTATGTACATGTGTGTATGTATGTGTATGTATGTGTGTGTATGTGTGTATATGTGTGTATGTGTGTGTTGTAAATGGTGACTAAAGGTAACTTTTAGGCAAGTGGGTTGAAGTTGGGCTTGGAAGGAAGAGTGTGAGTTCCCTAGCCCCAGTAACTCATTGCAACCTTTCCCTCAGTAGTTTAAGTTTAGAATAGGCTTTGCCAAATACGAATCTGACTTCAAACATCTGCTCCACTACTAGACTGGCTCCCTTCCTCCCCTCCTCTCCCCTCTTCTTACCTCCCTTTCCTTTCTTTCCCCCTCCCCTTTTCTCTCCCTCCCCTCTTCTTCTTTTCTCCTCCCTTTCCCCTCTCCTCCCCTCTTTCCTCTCTCTCTCTCTCTCTCTCTCTCTCTCTCTCTCTCTCTCTCTCTC